ACCAGATATGTTGTTGACAAGCGCTCCGACGCTGATGCCGCCACCAGATATGTTGTTGACAAGCGCTCCGACGCTGATGCCGCCACCAGATACGTTGTTGATAAGCGCTCCGATGCCGACGCCGCCACCCGTTACGTCGTTGACTAAATCAGTCCGTGGTAGCATCAGTCGGTCCTCAACTATCCTGCCATCAGTACTCGACGCTTGAAAATATGGTGGCACTCTGATGCTACAAGACCACACTAGGAAATGTTTATTTCCCCTGTCTTGGTGTGATTTGTGTGCTAGCAGTCGTATTAGCTATATACTTTCCTTAATATAGTGACTTGCCCGACCTCGAGTTTCTCTTGCCTCGCTGCTGACTCATTGTCGGTTGTATGGCGTGAAAAGTTCTGATGATTCGAGCGTATAACCATGGTGATTCATCTGAAAAAGGTGACGTCCTCGATGATTCTTGTGCAGTTGAAGTTGCAAGCGTTTTAGCCTTGTCCCATTAGTTAGATGAAGAAGGGTTGCTGCGGGCGTTCGTTCCTACGGTCTACCTACCTAACGTTAGTGGCGACTCCACAGGGCGTCGAGAGCTTCCCTCTCCCATCGCACAACCCGCCAACAAGGACACCGCTACTTATGTTGCGCAAAGCTAAACTCAAAGGCCATCGGCATCTCCTCTGATCTGGTCATTATGCCTAATTATCCAAACGGACCGAGGGTAGCACAGCAGCTTCGACCGAATGGTAGCCAGGCAGCCTGCGATCCCTGCCGCACGCGCAAGGTGGCGTGCGACCACGCCCGCCCAGCGTGCTCCCGCTGTCGCGCAAAGAATAGGGGAAGCGAGTGTGTCTATTCGGCCAATGCTGCACGCAAGGTCAAAGCCAGCGATAACCTGCTGCCCTCACCCGTCGATGCGCCGTCCGTGGCTCTACCGCCTCGCCCGCCTAAGCGGCCGCGCCCAAACATACGCCTCGGCTATACCTCCGCGCTTGAGGAGTCGCAGCCGAGTTTCTCAGCGGCCGCTCACAGCAACCTCTACGGTCACATTTCGCCAAGTGAACAGCCTCAGCAGGACCGGCAGGTGATATTCAGCGAGCTACCCCGGCCAGTTCGCGAGACTTGCATGGCAGTGATACGAGCCCTTCCTAATCAGCGGGACGCGCAGATGGTGTACCTCGAGGGCGAGTTTCAGGCAAAAGGCTGGCTTCATCTCGCAGCACATCGCATAGTACGATGGTTACAGACTGTACTTGCCGAATCGCCGTCGCGAAGCGAGCAAGAAACGGTCGAGCGTGTTGCTGAAATAATATCCAGCAACACGTCAAGATCGATGCGTGGCCCTTTTGCAGACTGGGAGTCATGGCTGAACTCTTTTGTCGGCCCAAATACGAGATGGGAGTCTATAGGGTTGCTTTGGACTCACATGGAGCGCATTTCGGACATTTTAGATGCCCTTATTCCGAGGAAGCTGGTTCGCTCAGAAACCAACACGTCCAGTCAGACGGCAGCATTCCATGTCGACAGCTGCATTCGTCTTGCACGTCACTTTATAGACGAGAGTGACTTACTAGCAGAATTATATCGTCGAAGATCAGTTCTGGTATCTTTTGCAGAGGGCGAATTAGGTGAGATCCAGAGTACTAGTGCCCACTCCCCGTGCAGTTATTTACGTATGCCTGATTCTTAGGACTGAAAATGTGGGAAGCGCACGGCGCAAATGTAAACTATATGATCTTTCTCGGCCTGCATGCTCCGGACACCAGCACACCATATATCCCATCGGCGTGGTCCGAAAACAACCGACGACTGGCGGCGGCCACTTTTGTCTTCGACAAGATCGAAGTCATGCTCACCGGTCGTCCGCCCCTCATCAGTCATCGCTTCTACACAGCGCCATTACCTCTTGATCTTCGCGACGAAGACCTCATTGCCGGCTCCACCACTTTAAATAATGCCATTGCTTCACTTGATGAACGAGGCTGGAACACAGACGGTGGCTTGTACCCGTCGACCGTGGCGAGAGCTCGCTGCATGATGGCATTGATTCGAGACGAGGTAATCGAAGTCACCATGAGCAATGGTCGTAATCCAAGTTTGGAGTATCTCATGTATGGATCCCTCGATTTCTTTCTTCCGTTGTCGACCAAATACTAATACGGTCAGCAGGGATCTTAAAGATCGCGAGTACACAGTCGTAGCCGAGTTCCCGTCCAGCCTCAGATATGATCCCCGAGATCTCGAAATCACACATACAGAGATTCATCCCCTGTATATGAAGATTCTAACGCATCTGGAACACCTCCAGAATTTATTCTTCATCGATAGGCTTTTGATACGTTGTGGGTATGCCATCCGAGACAACTTGTTGGAGAACAGCCTTGCTTTGGCGGGTTTGGCTCTCCACTTATGGATTCACAAAGACCAGTTCGCAGATGCTGTTGTGCAGCGCAGTTTCGATTGGATTGTACGTAGGGCTTCGCTCGAGTTCTGTTGAGCATCTTAATCTTAGCTGACACAGTGATGCAGATGCTTTCGTATGGTGCGCCCGCAGCCGGCATCCTGTGCCAAGAGGCACTGGGCACAGGCGAGCACAGCAAAGAACCCAACATCAGCCGGGCCACCATCATTCAGCAGCTGAGCCTACTGGTTGGGTTTTTCGACTGGGTTCGGCCTTCGGCGCCAAATGCAAAATTCTGCGGAAACTGCAAGGCCATCATCCAGCAGGTGCTAGATCAGTGCCTCAACACAAGTGCGGAGACAAGCGGGCCGACATTTCCGGTCTGGGACTTGGGTGATCAGCCAGACTTCAATTTCGAGCTCATGGATACCTTTGACTGGCTGCGGCCTGCTGAGCAATAGCACATTTAGCGTGCCAAGCACACTCATCGCAGATTCGATATAAATCATTTCTGCATCTCGGTGCGGACACTCGGCTTTAGTAAGTGTAGCTAACTAGCTGATGAATGTAATTGCTCCTCTCGGTCGCATTTCAGCGCCGAAGTTTGGCAGCCAAAGTGACATACTTGCAGCACGGCCCAAAAGTCCCACGCCTCAAGCCACAGCCTCGGAGTCCGACGCGGGGACGCACTGTGCGCTTTTCCCCATGTTTTGGCCACGGCTACAGTGTCACAGAAATTTCGTACCGTGACCGAGTCTCGGTCCGCAATGCGTTTGTTACAATCAACCAGGTCCTCACGACAGGGTCAATGTATTCCGTAAATGTTAATTCCGAAGTATCTCCTTCCTTTTCTTTTCGCCTCTCCTCCCCATATAAATGTTCTCCTCCAATTGCCCTTGCCATTAGGGATGGTCACTTCAGACGCGACAGACAATCATCATTCACCACCGTGCTGAACTGACAACAAAAGCGCACGACTGCGATTATTGCCTTGAAAACGCAATCCAAATGGCTGTTACTGAACGAGGTGCCGACTGTTCTGCGGCCGAAGCCGGGTTGCCAGTCGACCGAAGAGAGGCAAACGAGACCCCAGTTGATCCTCTATTGGTAAGGAACCAACAGCTCACCATTACTTGATCTGCCAGCCTGCTAACATGAGCAAAACAGGTTACCTGGAATGGCGATGATGACCCCGAGCACCCTTACAACTGGAAAGAATCTCTGAAATGGGCCATTACGATTCTTCTCTCTTTCGGCGGCCTTGTTACCCTCATGTCAGGCGCAATGCTGGCGCCCGCCCTTCAAGAGATCGCACACGATTTTAAAACCGACGAAAATCACGCCCAAATCTTTCTTTCCATCTACGTCCTTGCTTTTGCATTCGGTCCAATGGTCCTAGCCCCGTGCACAGAGGTGTTTGGTAGAAGACCAGTCTGGCTTATCTGCGCCTGCTACTACATTGCATGGAACACGGCAGCTGGGTTCAGCAAGTCCTCTGGGGTCCTCATCCTCTGTCGCGTCATGTCTGGTCTGGGCGCCAGCGCTGAGTTTGCAGTCAGTAGCCCGGTGCTCGCAGATATCTGGACGCCCGACCAGCGTGGCAAGTCGTATGCCATCTCAACATTTCTGCCCCTTTTGGGGCCTGCCCTCGGACCCATCATCGGCGGCGCCGTGACCCAGACAATCGGCTGGCGATGGATATTTTATATTCTGTCTATTTACGATGGAATTCTCGTCATTGCCGGCTTCTTCTTACTACCTGAGACCTTCAAAGTGATTCTTTTGGAGAGAAAAGCCAAGAAGCTTCGCAAGGAGACTGGCCAAGCTTACTACACACAAGAAAGCCACGAAAAGTTGGGGTCTAGATTGGCAGTGTCCTTGACGCGCCCATTTCGCCTGCTCTTCACGCATCCTACCATTCAGTTTATGGGCATCCTCCTCGCTTACAATTTTGGCCTGCTTTACATCGTTCTCTCGACGTTCGCTACCCTATGGATTGACCGCTATCGCCAAAGTACGCTTGCAAGTGGCTTGCACTATATTGCGCTCGTCATCGGCTACACGGTCGCTGCTCAAGTGGGAAGCCTATTCATGGATAAAATTTGGGCATACTTGAAGAATCGCGCGGGTGGAATGAAGACGGCTCCGGAATATCGCGTACCGCTCATGGTCCCCGGAGCAGTTCTGGTTCTCGCCGGCATTTTCATGTACGGCTGGACTGCCCAGTATCGCGTACACTGGATTGCACCTGACATTGGCATCGCCATTTTTGGTTGTGGCATCATCCTCAACACGCAGGCGATGCAAGCCTATGTCACCGAGTCTTATCTCGGTCACGTTGCGTCGGCGTCTGCAGCCTCACAATTCTTGCGCAGTATCACTGGTTTTGCATTTCCCATTTTTGCTCCTTCGCTATACAGTGATCTAGGATACGGTTGGGGTAACAGTGTGTTGGGGTTCGCATTTCTGGTTCTTGCAGCCCCTGCGCCGATTGTGCTGTGGTTGTTTGGCGCAAAAATGAGAGCCATTGGAAAGCACAAGTAGTTGCCTCAAGTTGGCCTCAAACTCGCATGTTACAGAGAACACGGACGACATTACGAATTTTTAAAGCTTTATACAAAAGACAGTTTCAGTGAGAGTAATCAGATTTATATGTTCACGTTCACGTTTACTCTGTATCTTCCTGCACTAAATTTCGGAAGTCTTCCAGCTGATGGCATTAAAATACGACGGAACGACCAGATTTCCATGGCTCAACGGCTGCTTTTGGATGCCTTTTTTTTATTGTCTTGCCAAGCGTTCCTTTCTCACCGTTCGGGTAATTCTGGGTCGCATCACAGAGACGCGTTCCATTGTTCGTGCCAGCACACACTTTCACTCTGTCTCATCATTGCACGAATAGGAGAGCAGGCTGCTGACTCTGCGCAAGGGCATGGCGCTTGTGTGGTGTGATCGGTCGATATTTGTGACCCCCCACGCCCTTGCCCCTCTTGCTGAACGCGACGAGCTCACTGCAGTTCCGTGTCTCTCAGCCCTGCACGGTGACGACCAAAGTTTGAAACATACATTGAACCCGTCGGCCAACCTCCTTTGCCTTCCCAGACGACGACAGGCGACAACAACCGGCAAGATGCAATGGGCTGTTGCTACCCGGACTGCATTTAAAAGTGGGATTTTTGCGTCTGTCGAGTCGTTGTCTTGGCAAAACATGCGCTGACGATAGTTACATTTCAGCTCCAACAAGTTCTTCTCCACCGCTGAATCATCCGGCCAGGCCCATCCAAAACGCGGCATCGCCTAGCCACTCTCCGAAAGCACTGACCGAGAGTCATATCCTATCGCGCGCATCCGGTCATCAGTACGGCACGTACGGTTCGAGGCCTTTTCGAGGGCCCCGTCGGAGGATCCCCTAGCGGGCCGCGTTATCCTATCACCAAAGTCAGGACGACCTTGTGCTATCAGCACCAACTCCACACCAGCACATTATGTCTGTGCGGATCGCCGCTATCGTGCCCAGCAGATCTCGACGACCTGCCGAAAGGGGCAATGCCCACCGCGAAGTGGTGATCATTTAGAGGGGCCGCACCCGCTCAACCCGGCTTTTTGCTGGCGCGCCGCAAGGTCGTTCTCTCGCTAGCTAGCGAGCGAACAAGGCCACATGCTAATCGTCTATGCTGTTCAGCTCGGCTCGTCTACATTGCGGGAGGCTTGCTGTTTCTTTTATAAGTCAGGGAAGTGTCCATCAAGGTAGCCCATCGTCGAGTTTCTGCTGTAAGATTGTGTGCCAAGACGCCATCTCGATCTGCCGACCCGATACAGCCCATTCATCTGCACGCGTCGTCGGGCATAGTGCAACACTGTTGCCTCTCTCCGCACAGCCATGGTGTCATTCTACCGCACTGCCCTCATTGCGGCTACGGCTTTTCAAGGTGCTCAGGCTTGGGGCGTTTTGGGCCACGCCACTGTCGCTTACATTGCGCAAAACTACCTGACCAACGAAACCACCGTGTGGTGAGTATAGCTTTTTTTTAAAAAAAAAATGATAAAAAAATGATACAGAAAACAGCGCAATTGCTAAAATATCATGTCAAAGGGCTCAAGATGTTCTCGGAGACAGTTCCGATTCGTACCTTGCCAGTATCGCCTCTTGGGCTGACCAATACCGCTCCACCACCGCCGGCAAGTGGTCTGCTCCTCTGCACTTTATCGACGCCGAGGACAACCCGCCGGCATCCTGCAACGTCGACTACGAGCGCGACTGCGGCAGCAAGGGCTGTTCCATCTCCGCCATTGCAAACTACACGCAGCGCGTCGGCGACGCCCGCCTGAGCGCCGCCAACGTCAACGAGGCGCTCAAGTTCCTCGTCCACTTCCTGGGCGACGTCACGCAGCCGCTGCACGACGAGGCGTACGAGGTCGGCGGCAACGACATCAAAGTCACTTTTGATGGCTACTCGGACAATCTGCATGCCGACTGGGACACGTATATTCCGCAGAAAAAGGTGGGCGGTTCCAAGCTCACGGACGCGCAGTCCTGGGCCAGCGCCCTCATCGCCGAGATTGAGTCGGGCGCGCTCAAGGGCCAGGCCGCTGGCTGGATCTCCGGTGACAACGTCGCGGACCCCATTGCCTCGGCGACACGGTGGGTGTCGGACGCCAACGCCTATGTGTGCTCGGTCGTCATGCCCGGCGGCGCATCGGCCCTCCAGCAGGGCGACCTTTACCCAGACTACTACAACTCGGTCATTGGCACAGTCGAGCTGCAAATTGCAAAGGGCGGCTACCGTCTCGGAAACTGGCTGAATAGCATATATAGCAGCAAGATTGCGAAGCGCAGTGTTGATGCGCCTTTGCCGGACCTATCTGGTCGCGATCTGCTGCCCGCTGACCGTCCGTTGAGCCGCGCAAAACTCGCCAGGGAGGCCATGGGCGAGTCGTGCTGCACTCACAATCACTAAGCTTAAATTCTTCTGCCAATAGATCATTAATTAATCAAAAGTCTCGAATCGCGCGATTGTATCGTCTCATTTACTGCAACATCTTCGTTTGTGCAAACGCCGCGCCGAGTGCCAATTTCCGGCTGCATGGTAAGCCAACAAAGCTATAAATCCTTCCATCTAATTGCCACTCTTCGGAATTCTCTCATCATTTCCAACTTCAAGCTTTCTCCCCGGCACTCTTATTTCTGCCATTGTATCGCCTCTCGGACTCGACCTGTCTTTTCTTCCTTGTCACAGTTCAAGAAGAATGTCACGAACTAGCAATGCTGGTGTCAGTGACCCAGCCACCGGCTCTTGGCTTGCGCAAATGATGCTCTCCGAAGAGTATTGTGACCTGTGCTTTTCTTGCGACGGGGAAATCTTCAAAGTTCACAAAGTGGTCGTCTGCCCTCAATCATCCGTCATTCGAGACGCCGTGAGCACCGACTTTCTGGTAAGCCTCGCCGCGGTAATTCATTGCGTCACAGCGGCTGAAGCTTTTAACAGGAATCAGAAATCGGCGTCTTGGACATGGATGCGTATACTCCCGAATTGGTGCAAAGATTTAGACAATTTCTATACACAAAAGTCTACGATGCTACTGACATTGAAGATGGAGTGGCGCTGCCAGCAGATGATGCTACAGCAGACATTGGCTCAAGTGCAGCCAATTCTGCCATGTCAACAAGCAGAGAAAGCAGCAAAAAGTCGTCTCTAAACAGAGAAGCTATGGCTCAAGACCCAATTTATAGGACCATCCTGGATCATGCCAGCATGATGGAAATTGGCGATTATTATGACGTGCCGGAACTCGTCAAATTTGCCCGCGCGCAGATCAGTGACGCTTTGGCCGGCGCATCAGCTGATGCCCCTTGGGTTGCGGGCCTTCCCTACATTGCTGAAGACGCGCTCGACATTATCAGCGACGACGACCTCGAACGAACCTTCGCTACTGCCGTCTCCGAGAATATTGGGACGATTATTGCAATGCGCACACTCAAAGTCTCGCCACTGGTGACGTCTTTTTGCCTAGAGGTGCTCAAGAAGTGCAGCACGACAAACCGGGTGCTTTCTGAAGAGCTCTTGTCCAAGACCAAAGCTCTGGACGAATTGTGTATGAAACATAAAGTGGCCCTCGATGAAATTCAGCAGCTCAGCCCAAGGAGAGAATACTAAACACTACTCGCAAGAGCCAGAACGAGTGAGGTTGACTACGTTGAATGGAGTTTGCAGTTTTGTTGTTGTCGCAAGGTTCATCGCCTGGGGTTGGCAATGTGCTCTAGACACTAGCTTCTTCTGCTATATTTTTTCACGATTATTTTGAGATTTGTTGCTGGCGTCTGGGTCATCTGCCGCTGAAATCAGCCGATTTTATTCTATCAAGTCTAGAATACCTTTCAAGATATCTTTTGCCAAGTAACCTCCCGTGCCTCCTCTGAAACCTTCACACTACGTTTTGCTTTGTTACTGGCGTTTTGACACGCTGACTTATTCGCCGTGACTAGAGTGACACAAATAAAGTCGGCGAACCAAACGTTACTTGATTTAACTTATTGAAAATAATGATTATCAGGCCCAAGTTTATATATAGTAGAAAGAAGACCATCATCGAACACCGCTCGTCACGACATTTCCACCATTGTTCCATGCGCATTATAAAACGACACGGCCTCTGCCTCGCAAAACGGACGGTCGTCTCTGCTCTCGAGCGTGCCAAAAGCCTGCAGCAGCCGCACCAGCACGTACGAAATCTCCGTCTGCGCCATCTGCTGGCCAATGCACGACCGCGGGCCCGATCCAAACGGCATAAAGTACGCGGCGTGCGCAGATGATGATGCCACCCCCTCGCACCAGCGCTCTGGTCCGAACGCGGCCCAGTCGTCGCCATAGTGCGCCGGGTTGCGGTTCAGCGCGTAGACGCTCCAGACAATGGTCGTGCCGGCGCGGACGACCACGGGCGACTGGCCGTCGGGGCCGCCGCCGCGGGGAAGCGTCGTGTCGACGGCGGCTTGTCGCGAGTGAGAGGCGACGGGTGTGTAAAGACGGAGACCTATTCATCGTATTTTCGTGTCGGCGTAAGTTTTGCAGCCCAGCGCGGGGTCGGGTATGGGGGGGGGTACGGGTGACACAATGTGGGAGGGTGGGAGGCGGGGGGAAGTGATTGTACTTGTTACTCACCTTCGTACAAGACACTACGCAGATACGGCATGGCAGAAATGTCTTGTCTTGTAGGCGGTCTGCCGTTCAGGTGCGCCATCTCACCCCGGAGCTTCTCCTGGACATCTGGGCGCTCCGCAAGAATGCGCACGAGGTTGGCAAGTAACGCCGTGGTGGTGTCGAAGCTGGCAAAGAAGATGTTTTGCAGCTCCGCCTGCATGTCGTCGACTGAGAGGCCCTCTTTCTCGAGCATGCGAAAGAGCGAGGTGCTGCTACTCCTGCTGCTGCTCGAGCCGTCGCCGCCGGGACGATACCACTGCTGCTGCTGCTGCTGCTGTTTCTCGCGCAGCAGATCCAGGCGCTTCTTGAAAAACGCCTTCATGCCGCCAACGACAGCCAGCAGCTTCCGGTAAGAAAACGCCAGTTTGAGCCATGCGAGCGCTCCGACGGCGATGAAGAGCCCGCACGCCGGTTCAAAGGCCTTGACCAGGCATAAAAAGTCGGCGCCGTCGGTACTGCTGTTGTTGTTGCCGCTGCTGCAGAGGCTCTCGACGGAGCCATCAAACAAAAACTCCGTCACCACATCGAGCGAAAACCGTCTAGCCAGCTCCGAAAAGTCAAACGCACGCCCAGAGCCCCCTTGCTGCCCGTCTCGAATAACCGCAATCATTGCTTTGACATGCGGCTCCACAAGCGCCAGCTCATCCAGCGTCGTCTTTGCAAACACGGGCTTGAGCAGCGCCCTCGACCGGCGCCACGCTTCCCCTTCGTTCATCAGCACGCCGCGACCAATATGCTTCGACGCCTCGCCCACCCAGGCCGCCTTTCGAAACTGCGCAAACTGGCTCGTCGTCACGGCGCGAATGTTTTCTGGGTCAATCGTGTAGATGCACTCGCCGCCAAGGAGCTCGCGCGCCCGAAAGGTTGGGCCGTGGCGCATGTGGCGCATGCGCATACCCTCGGCCAGACGGCCGCAGGTGAAATCCCTCCACATGGACAGGTACAAGTCGAGTCCCCAAAACGGTTCGAGGTGAGGGTATGTAGGCAGCTCGTCGTGGGTGAGATGGCTCGCTGTCTTGTTCGCTCGGTTGCGGACATTCAATAATGCGCGAAGCGCATAATAGGCCAGCGCGCTGGCAGCAAAGATCAGTGTTACAATTGTCATGGTTCCTTGTTAAGAGGTTTCTTGGTGTTGATGAGGACAAAGCTCTCTTTCTACCACTTTCTTTAGTCGCGTACATCTTTTTATATACCCATTTCAGCTTATCATCACTTTTGTGATATATCAACTTCTATCATGTCGATTCTGTCATGTAACGGCTTCTTTTTATATCACAAATTGCGTTTGTCCTTATGTCAAGACAGTTTGCTCCCCATACCCATCTCCTCTGGCCTCCACCTCGACTCAGGGCGCCGCCACTGGCTCTTGGCTCACACACCGTCGCAGAGCTGATAACAAACATTTGCTACACATAACGACTGTTTGTTTCTTGCGGTGTCTCTTCATCACCATCATCTCTCCAGCCTCTCCTCGGACATGCAGTGTAGCTTGACCTGTTGGCGCCGACCTGAGACATGCGTACGTTCCAGCGGCTATTCAACCATCTTGACCCCCCTCGACTCCATCATTTCCCAAACTCTGACGCAATTCCATAGTACGACTGGTGTCCAGGGTACTTCCCCTCATGCTACGACTGCATGTTTGAGATGCGCTGAGCAGGGGGCGCGATGAGGGGTTCTGTGCCGGTCGAAGCAGGATTTCTCGGCTGTACACCCTTTGGGGATGGTTCACCAAGCCGGACATGCGTCGTCAAATGACACAGTGGCTCATATAATGAGTGCCTCGAGGTGATTCCGAGCAACAATGTAGGGGGGCTCGTTGGTGATTGCTCTGAACATTCTGGGACCCGCTGTACATGATGCAAGCCAAATCTTTTCCGTCAAGTTTGTCAGTCAAATCTCAGCAACCGAGAAGCATTAGCTTGTGAGAGTTCAATGATTTCGCAGAGAGATTAAAAGGCAGTCAGTGGGCAACAAGTCGCGGTCACATCAACCACATTGTTCACACAATCATCTATCCGAATCCTTTTCTTGTTCTTTCTCGGCAAATATCCTCTTGCTCGCCACGGCCATGCTTGCGGGACTGACGAGCAGCGTTCGCCGCTGGAGGTTGACTTTCCAGGTGTTCCTGCGGGTAGCCGCTCGGCGCCTTGTTCTAAGCAGGCTGGCCGCATTTCATTCGGGGTTTCTCTGCATACAGGACTCATACGGTGATGAGATTGGCGTCTTTGGCAACCCCAAAGCGCACCATTTCCAGGCCCCTGCCATTCTAGTCGTCCACGATGATTCTTTCTGGGTGCGCGCGCTCTTGCGCGGCGACATTGGTTTCTCCCAGAGCTACATGCTAGGTGAAATCTCCACCCCAGACCTGACTGCCGTCTTCGAATTCTTCGTGCAAAACGCCTCCAAGAAGAGCATTCTTGCCGGCTGGCGCGTGATCGGCATCTTCAGCGCCATGGCGCGCGCCGTCTTGCAGCGCGCGAACCACGTCGCAACGGCCAAGCTCAACGCCGTTGCGCATTATTCGCTCGGCAACGACATGTTCTCGGCCTTGTTGAGCCAAGACATGACGTACTCGGCTGCGCTGTGGCTGCCCATCACGGATCCCCGCTCCAAAGGTGAGACCCTGCACGAGGCCCAGATGCGGAAGCTGCACTACGCCGTTTCCTCGGCACGCATCAAGTCCACAGACCACGTTTTGGAAATCGGCAGCGGCTGGGGCAGCTTTGCCATACTTGCAGCCCAGACAACGGGGTGTCGGGTAACGACAGTCACTCCCAGTCTGGCGCAGAAACAGCTCGTTGAGCGCAGGGTCGCGGATGCCAAGCTCTCTGAGCATATCCGAGTCTTTCTCGGTGACTATCGCGAGGTCGAGACCCTGAAAACCAAGTTTGACAAGATTGTCAGCATCGAGATGATTGAGCATGTCGGCCACAAGTTCCTCGACACGTACTTTGCATGCATGGATCGCTACCTGAAAGATGACGGCATAGGCTACTTTCAGTGCATTACCATCCCGGAGGCGCGGTACGACGCGTACGTCAAGGGCCAAGACTTTATTCAAAAGTACATCTTCCCGGGTGGGCATCTACCCACTGTCAGCGGCTTGGTCTCGAGTATCAACGCGGGGTCCAAGGGCAGGATGGTTGTTGAAGAAATCTTGTCCTTGGGTGGTCACTACATCAAAACGTTGCAGTGCTGGAGGGATAATTTTCTCACCAATTTCGACGAAAGGATTGCCCCGGCGCTGCGCAAGGAGCATCCGCACATGACGGAAGCTGATGTCGAAATTTTCAAACGCAAATGGGTGGTAAGATGCAGTCCAACTGTCGGCCTAGGAAAATTATCAAGCTGACTTTTGCTAGTACTACTTTTGCTACTGTGAGGCTGGGTTCAAGACAAAGACCATTGGCGACGTCGGCATCACGGTCGGAAAGGAAGGTGCACTCGAGCTACTCGAGGCAATTCCTGGAAGCAGTGGTTAAACATGGTATTTCATATATGAAAGACAAATCAAAGTATAAGCAGAGCAAGGTGAATATAGAAAATCAGGAATTTAACACGTCTAGGCCCAGCTCGTCCGCGGTGCGACTGAGCATGCAAACCATCCCACCAATGTGATGAAATCATCAAAGTTCTTCCCAATCGTCGTCTCGAAATCCAATATTCTTGATAGGCTCACGTCGAAAATGTTGTTGACAAAATTGACTCGACTCTGTGCAATGCGCACCTGCCGGTCCGATCCAGTGATGACAGTAATCTGTAATGAAATAGGCCATTAGCATATTGTCATCGTGGCTTCCTTTATGCGCAGTCCCTGTGCACTCACGACTAGTTCATCGCAGTCTGCATATGCTGGTCGTTCGCCGTATCTGGAGGCGAGGACTAGAAAAGCGTTGAGTTCACTGACGAGGAGCCGCCCATCCTCAAGCGGCGTCACGTCGGACTGATACCCGACAATGCAGGGTCTCGTTTCGTCCAATTGGCAGCCCATCTTGACGGGTGCGCACACTGTCAGGATTGAATAGCGGGGTATTCCTTTGCTGTCGTAGTGTCTCAAAAACCTGGTGTCGTGACTAGAAATTCGAGGCCATGTTAGAGAAAGGAAACAGAGCAGCGGACAGCGTCCCACCGGGAATGATTCGCGGTTTGACGAACAAACAAAAAACAACCTCGTTCTACTTACCCTGATTGATTCCACATGGTCTGGTCTCGCAGCCCCCAGCCGTACGCATACGACGTGGCGATGTCGTGCACACGCATGGCTCCGAAAAACCTCGCATCCTGGTCCTTCTTCTCCCTCTCTTCCCAGTCGGCGTTGCCACGAATGGGAATGTCGGCGTTTTCCTCCTGTATCCGTTCCCTCTTTTCTTCTTCTTCTCCGTCACGGCCTGGTATCCGCAGGATAGTTTTGGCTGGCATTGGCACCAGTCTGGCCGTGCCCACAGCGCCCGCAATGTCGCCCGTCTCGAGATCTAAGCTCTTCAGGATAATGCCCCGGTCCTGAAGAAACTCGTCGGGAACATACGTTCTCCTGCTCGTCAAAAGGGGCACTAACGTGTCTTGGAGGAAAATCTGCCACCGGGAAAGACTCTGCTTCGGGTGACCCATGACTTGCGGGTTTCAAATGTCAATTTTGCGAGAGATTTGGAGAAGAAAGATTCACGAACTGAAAAAAGGAGGTTTGATAGACTGGAGAAGGAGTCAGCAGCGAAATCACAGCGAACCATGGCGAGAACCTCACGAAGAAGGGCAGGAATCAATGACATACAAAAACGCGCGGGGAATAAAAGATCGAGCTCCTGCAACACAGCAAGTCAGCAAAGGCACACGCACGAGCGAATCGCAAGAAAGCCGCCGCAATGCAGGAAGACAGCAGTAAGAAGGGCAACTCACGCAGCATGCGGTGATTGAGGAAGAGAAGAAAATCTGAAGTTTAGGGAAGAGGTGTTTGAGGGAGAAAGGAAAACTCTGATATTTAAAACAGAGGCCGTTTTGTTTGCAAGGAAGAAATAAAAAATTTGATAATTGGGGAAGAGGCTGTCGTGGCTGTTTTGTGTTTGGATAAAGTAGGTGATTGCCAGCCGAGAGCTTCGCATGTGCAAACGTTAAGTTTTCTTTTCGCGCCAGCACTGGTCACAGGTCTGCATACCTTTGGCTTGATTAATTACATAAAATTATTATCTGGACGCACAATGCATCCACTTGAAGCTACTTTGACGTCCTGTACTATTATTTGCTTCAGCCGGATTGCATTTCCCACTCACTAGCTTTTGTATACGACCAATCGAACAGTGAATGACAAACAGTAACAGCGTCTACTTAGTAGTAATTGCGCCACCAAAGTCGGCTTCGCCTCAGATGCACCGGCGCATAGGCAAGGATAGTAGACTTGGATGCCTCCGAGTTGTACAAATGGCGCTATTTTTGAGAACAATAGTGGCATCTGGTATGGCATAGAGTTGAGAGCAAGCTGATCTCAGGGTTTCATGGACAACTCAGTCTCAGGGGTTTCAACCATGCTTTCCTTCGCACAGGCACTAATCGTTTTTCTTCCCAACATAGCCGCCCTTTCTTAGCCCAAAAAAAGATGTCACGAGTACGGTCACCGTACTAGCAAAGATGGTCCAGAAGGCGGCCCGATAGCCTTCCATTAAAGCAGCTTTAGGGTCCCTGACTGGCGAATGTTCTGTAACAGAAGCAGCAATAGCCGCAGTCACTGCGAGACCGACCGAATTACCGAATTGAGCAACTTCGCTAAAAACACCACCCGCTAAGGATTGTGTGTCGGAGGGAAAGGCATCTGAAATCACCAGGTTTGATAGAGTGAAAAGTACTGGCAACATGTTAGGAGTTTGACCACAGAGTAAGAAGTGACTTTTCATAGTGATGAATGCGAAAGATTGACACATACTATCAGGGTTTACTGGCGAGAGAAACATCGCCCAGAATGGCGCAAGCCAGTAATTTTCGCCTACAGCAACAGTAGCCATCAATGGCGGTGCCACCATGGTAATCAGTGCAGATACGACTGCAAGGGTATGAACCTTGACACGCGATATAAGATATGCTGTTAAAGCATTGACACAAATACCCATTACGATGTGAGGAACAAATCGAATAGAGCTTTGTAGTGCCGATAAACCCTGGACCTCCTGAAAGCTGATAGTCCTCAGTTAGTGAGGGATAGTTTAGGTGGTTCAAGAACTTACTAAAGCGTAGTAAAGTATTCGATCCCATTGAGAGAAGCCCAGCAGAAGAACACTGAAACACAAATTGATGTGAAGGATGCCTTCCGCCAAAGGCTATTTGGAATAAGCGCTGGCCGGCCATGTTTAGTCTGGTAGTCCATCCACACAGGAAAGGCGGCTAGCAGAATCAGCGAGACAACTAGCAGAGCGATACTTTGAGGCTGTCTGATTGTCTTATAGGATGTAGTTAGTGTGGCCAGAACGTAGAGCAACAGACCAAGAGCAACACTCATGATTACAGCCCCAAGCCAGTCTATATCTTCAGTGAGGCGGCGAGTCCACTTCTTGTTCGAGATCGGTGTCACCGAAGGCAAAGACCAGATGGACACTGTTGCAAGAACAAAATTAATGATTGCCATCATGTAGCTTTGGGAAAGTTAGTCTTGACAGACCATCTTTGCAAGACGATTTGGAGTCATGTACTTACTATGCCCATCTCCAGCCAATTGTATCAGTAAAAATGCCACCGAGCACTAGACCAATCGCATAGCCCAGAGGCTGTCCCATACCATTCATAGCAAAGGCCACATTGCGCCAAGGTCCTTTCGGAAACGTGTTGGTGATGAGGCTCACAGTTGTCGGTAGACACATAGATATTGCCACGCCTAGCAGCATGCGAAACATAATGACTTGCAAACCAGTCTTGGCAAAGCCAAGCGCGATAGTGAAGATGACAAAGAGATAGCTGCCGACAATCCAGACGGGCTTGGCCCCGATGGCGTCTGCAGCGGCACCAAAGATCAGGAGTAAGCAGCCCGCAGACAAGGCGAATACTGCGGCTGGCCATAGTACGAGAGCTGGTGGGAGCATCACCTCTCGGGCGATGCGAGGTAGGGCAGCGATGAGTATGCCAGAGCCCATTGTATTCAGAAAGCTGATACCAGCAAGCGTTACAATAACCAAGACTCCTCTGGTCTTGGATACCTGGATCCCACGTTCAGGTTGGACCCCATCGCCAGCCCCGACAGTCGGCGTAGTGGGAGGAGAGTCAGGCCCCTGGGACAAAGAGATGACAACACCAGTCCGATCATCGATGCTGGCATTTCTTTGAGCTAAGGATAGTGGCACGGGCTGTACTATGCTAGCCTGTAGTGGTAGAAGCTCAGTATCGGCCATGCTGGGAGTCGCTGGGACATTGTTGCCCGGATATTTTGACATTCCCGGCCCGCCGCTTTTGCTTTGAAGGATTGCCATGATGGAAATGATGCAAGCTTGAAAGATAGCGCAACAGTGATGGCATGTCGGTATGTAGCCTCGCTGGATCAGGCAGCGTATATTTATAAAATTACCCCGCCCTCTATTAGTCATTAAGATCTTTTGTGCGCCACACTTTGCAAGGGGCACCTGCACACCGACACGGGCGCCTTGTGCCAGGCCGAGCCAAGTAGCAGCCTTACATGGCACAATCGCCGCAAAAGTGTAGCATTAGTCTCAACAGAAGATGCTGTGATACGATATGAGCGTCAAGTCATCAATGACGCTACTGTACCTGCTGTTGGTTAAGCAACGATAATTATCGTGAAGGTTATTGGTCTTGATTCGTGTTGTTGATTGTTTGTTATCCACAAGAGCTATCATACAAATTAAAGTGGCGCTTTCCTGGCTTCCAGCCAATGATAACTCAGTGCATTGATAGGCACAACACCTGCAATGCGGCGGTGAGTGCGTAACGTAGGATTGAACAAAACATGCCATGATTGTGCCAAGTCTGTGGAGGCCAGCCGATAATTGAGTCTAACCTAAACCATAATGCTTATCAGCCTGTTCGATAAGGCACTCTACTGATACGGAGCGCATCGTTGAGTGCGCCGTTACCTAGCGTTTGCTTTTTTTCCTAAATTGACCCCAGCGTGCGGCTAAAGAGATGTTGTGAAATACAAAGATATTTGCTGCTCGTAGCATCGAGGGTGTCTGCAGCGACACTAGACTTGGCTCAAAGAATCAAGGTTTTCGATCTGTTGCGCCATGAAAACACATACGTTCAATCTGAAATCTCAGCGTCAAATCACCTTGAATCCTAGGCTTAGCTTGACAGCCACGCCGGGGAAAGCACCCGGGCGTTGCTCCGGTGAGGCAAGATGTGACTAAAAAACGGCAAGGCTGAGCTAAATATCGTCGCACGCCGATCAATAAGTGTACCCGCCAGCTAGTATGCACGTCTAAATTGGACCACCTGTCCATTGCACAGGCTTAGAAATTGCATGGCGTAGTAATAACGCAAGTACGAAACGGCTTGGCTTGACAGCAAGGCTCAGAACTTGTTGTATTGACACGCTTGTCTATGAGTTGCTTCAAATTTGAGCAAGTATTGGCTAGTACCTGGGCCAAGCCGACAACGCCCCAGGTGTGATGAATCCACCCAACTCAGCATTGCAATCAATGGCCGTACGAGATGCCAAGCAGTCGCAGCTTGACGCCTTACATATTAATACATAGAGTACTACTCATTGTACACAACTTCCGCAAGCTTCATGACGCTAGCAAAAGCCATAGCCGCCAACAAGCCCCCCGCACCTGCAAGCACTCGTTGCGTGATTTTCTTCTGCATTGCCTCCTTCTCTCTGACAACAGTGAACCTCTCGTGCCCAAATTGAATCCTCGCGTATAGAGTTGTCCAATCCAAGGACGGCACCCATCGGCTGAGGAACGCGTCGGCGACTTTTTTGGTCCGGGCTGCAGTCGATCTGACGCCTACACGCAACTCGTAGTAATGCTCCGTGGCCATGTCCACCATCGCGTGGACATCGGGTAGACGATGTCTGGAATAGGCCTCGACCGTGCCCGAGGTACAAAATGGCTTGCTCGGGTCGCCAAGCCCAGCGCGATCGCGAAACTCGCGGAAAAATATTCTCACGTCTTCAAGCCCGGTCATCATGCCCATGGCGTGGAAAGGCGTCATGCTGTGGGAGCTGTCTCCCAACAGCACAACGCAGTCTTTGTAGCCCAGCTGGCCGCACTTGACGGATTTCAGAGGGATCTTCTGATGCGCGAGAAATTGCTCGGTAACAGCCTCGGCGGAGAGAATTCGGGGGATGATGCCAGGAAACTCGTTGTCGAAAAAGGCGGCAAATTCATCCGGGTGGGCTTCATAATAGCGTACTTTGGCCGTGTCACAAACCATGCCTGCTCGAAAAGATCCATCCTGGCTTTGTTAGACGATGTGTCCAAGGCCAAGGAAAATTTCGACTCACGAAATCAGGCTGGCACATGACGATGCTTTCGTCTGCAGGCCACACATGTAGACAAGTTGATTGCATCCGATAGCTGCCGTCCGGGGCGGCGGGAAAAATGAAGTCGCACCACAGCGCCTGCAGATACTCTTGTGAGAAATCCATACAAGACTTCCTCATCATGAATTGTCGCACACTCGAGTACGTTCCATCAGCGCCAATGAGAAAGTCGAATTCGACCGATGTAGTCTGAGACGTCTCGACGGGCATGGGCTTTGAGGCCTCGCGTTTCTCGCCTGATCCGGCAAAAAATGTCGGCTTGTCATTGAAAGCATCTTCCTGGGGGTCATTGCTTACCATCCTCTGCAGTATTTTTCCAAACCACGGACTCAAAGGTAGCAACCTGGGCGTCGAAATTGCAAGACGTCAATCTCTGGTTGAAGAAGAGCTTCGCGTTAGGTTCGTCCATCAAAGCTAGCATAACGTGCTTCGTGATTCTTTGCCGTGGCAGCGTGTGCAAGCACTGGTATTGAAGTCAGTTTGGGCTTTTTTTTTTTAGAAAATAGCGGACACTATTTACCTGTCCCTGAGGTCCATATACCATTGGTATGTTCTTGATGTTACCATGTGAATCCCTTGTATGAATCATGCGAGTGTCAATGGGTCGTGAGTTGTCTAGTATCCTGTCTAAGAGTCCAGGAACACCAGCCTCAGCAATTGCTCGAATTCCGCGCTCTGAAAGAGCCAGCGGTATAACGGCGATGTCTGGTCGGGCACTCTGGCTACCGTAATTTGGATCTGGGCTGAGTTTAATAGACTTCTAGAAAGTATTCAGACTTGAACACACCATCTCTGAGCTCGTATAGCTCTACCGCGTATCCTCTTCTCGCTGCATACAGAGCTGATAAGGCACCGACCGGACCACCGCCGACAACAACGACCTTTTGAGGAGAGGCCATGTTTTTTGGATTCAGTATTAAGGGTAGAAAGATCTAGGATGAATATTCGTGTTCTGGTGCGTATATCCCACACACTTAAAATAGGAGCATGACCAAGCATCTTTAAATACCTGGACAGAGAGTGGCAAGCTAGCGTGCACAGAAGAGTTTTTGAGTGTTCTGCGCAAGTCGTCGAAATTGACGTGTTCCCCAGCGAAAGCAATGCGCGTTCGAAGCTCTTACCTGCACGGCCACCAGCTGCACGGCCGCCAGCTGCACGGCCACCAATGCAGGTAATGGAGGACATTGCTGTTTTCGCATAGTCATCACCTGAATGACGTTGACGATTTGTGTCAACGCGTTATAATCAGCAGCCAGTGAATCAGCAGCCAGTAAATTAGCAGCCAGTGAATCAGCAGTCAGTAAATCAGCAGCTAGTAAATCAGCATCCGGTTAATTAGCAGCAAAACTACAGCTACTAATAATTAACCAGCTAATGCATTAACTGTCTGCTAGTCAACGAGCTGCTGGTCTACGAGCGACTGATGATTGACTGGCTGTTTATTGGCTGGCTAGAATTGCCTGCCGCGCATCTGCTACGCATCCTCACTGCCTTCGGGGGAAAAAAAAAGGACCGTTTGGGCTTGACGTTTACTATACCCTCCGCCGGTCTCGTCGAGACAATTGTACTGAAATGATCATAGGCGTCTTCTTCTATCACAAGATCAGCGCGAGATTTACGTGACGATCGCTACTTACACTGAGAATCCTTCATTCGGGTTGACCAGCCAGCGTATGCGGAGGGGACTCTGACGGCGGACGATTTTCTTCGAATGTACCCCATACGAACCGTTCCGTGTCGACGTTCTTCAGGACATGGAGCAGCTGGCACGAGTATTGATTGCACTCTCTCATCAGAACTTTATCATCTAAATTAGGTAGCTAACGAGGCAGCGAGACGAATTCGTGCCTCAGGAACTGTTGTTGCTCTTCTCGCGGCAAATTCAACCAATCAGCGGCCGCGGTGTCTGGGCTCCTCAGTTGCAGCGGGAAGGGCAACCGGGTGCCTGAGGCACCTAATTGGCTCGCTGCATCATTTCAGCAAGGTTATTGCTAGTTAGTTAAGGGGGAAGTGCTAGGGGGACAGGTGCACGCGTGGCTTCGCGCGGTACTTAGTCTTATACTATAAGTCGCATATAAATAGAGGTATTTCTATGAGAGCCGGCCTCGGTGTCGAAGTCTTCCACCAGCTACCCCCAGCCACAAGTTGGTTGACAACTCTTGGTTGATAAATAAGAAAAAAACGTTATGAGTTCGTGTACGGATAGTGCTTAACAAACCGTGCAAACTTACATTATCAGCAACCAAAAGCCATCCACGCCAAACTCCCCCCTTTCCCCCTCTTCTCCGTTTGCAAGGCTAGCGCTCGCTCGTGTGCAACAGCCCCGTGGTCGTCAGATGTGAAAAACAACTTTGTGTGCCCCAGAATCGGGATAACGTTGTGGGGGAGGGGCACGAAGTTGGTGATCAGGTGGACAAACTCGTCGGGGGGGTGGAGTTGTGATGATGGCTCGGCTGGCTGATGACTGGTTGTTGGAGGACAGCCCATCGGAACCAAGGGTAAAAAGGACCCCTAGCTTTGTCTAGGGTTCACAGTTGCGAGTGAATTAACAAGGTTGCAAGGGTACGGAGATCAACTAATAAATAACTTCACTAGTTACGCAAAAGGCGGGGGAGGTCTCGAACGATGACGTCGGGGGCAGAATCACTCCTTGACGAGCAGTTGGACAATACGAGATGTCGTTTCTGAAGAGTCACTAGGACAATTACTACAGAGGTCCCCCACATTCAGGTGTTGTACGTCTGTTTGTGGTTGGTCTGGAGTCTGACAACTGGTATAGTCATTAGGTAGAGAGGGAGAGAGGCACAGATCAGGTCGGTCAGCCCCAAGAGCGCCAAGGAGATGGTCATGTCCCTGTGTCCCCTGCACAGAGTAACGTGTCGCGCAATTGCAGTGTACAGAAATGGCCACCTGTGTACAGCTTCCCGTGGAGCGAAGTTGATGCCAAGGCTATTGGGGGGCCGATCGGCCTGTCTGCCTGCCTACTAGGTTGCCAAAGTCCTCCAATCATTTTACCAGTTATCAGTTGGCATTATTAACTAACTACTGGTACAGAGTTTACCAGTTAGCATTTAGCCTTGGACGCGAGAACGACCAGTTTGACCAGGTCATGGACAACTCGTGCAACTCTTCGAAACAAGTCCTCGTCCAGGCTAATCGGCCATGCGAGCCGCCGCCTTCCCCCACGAGAACAAAGGGTAATCGGGCGGTCGAGATGACGGCACCCTGCAGCAAGGGATGCCAAGTGGCGGCGGTATGTTAGTCCCTGAGTCTTTGATGGGCAGATTTCTCCAGCGAACAAAAGAAGAAGAAAAGACGGGACAGCCATCAGGTCGGGATGTGAATATGATGTGTAACAAATGGCAGTCGCTCGGCTACGTGCTGTGCCTGCGACCAGAACACCATTGCGACAGGTGCAGCTGAAAAGGTCTGACTAGTGGGCGAATGAGGATACACAGTAGGTTGTTAGTGCAATGCAGGTTCATTAGCAGTCGTCGCTATCACTGGGCAAGCCCCAAGCCAGAAAAAAAGGACAGGATGGCAAATGGGTTCTTGAAAGCATCAGGTGTCAATGCATCCCACCATCATTTTTGGGTGCGTGTCACGCAGGTCGGGGGCGCGTTATCGACTTGTGCTGTGTCTGTGTGCGTGCGTGAGTGAGGTTCATGCTGGTGCTGTAAATTGACAACCGCAGATTGACGGTCCAGACTGGTCCAGAAGGTCGCAGTGCTGCATTCCACAACGAATCTTTTGATTCTTGGGTCGAAATTGGGATTGCTGCGGGCGCCGTGTGCGCCGGTCAGCTTGTCGTGGAAGGATTCCCAGAGCCTTGTCTTACGAATGAATATAGGTGCCACTCTCCCGTGTTCTCGTTCAGGCAGCAAAGGTCGCTTCTCTTAAGCCGCCCCTGGGCGATAATTTGCGAATCTTACCGTTAAGAAGAGTTGCGTGATGCGAGACGTTTCGCCGAAAATCAATGCTCTTTTTCCATGTGAGAGCTACATAGGTACCCCCCACAGAGAGGAATCGACGGGCCGCGATAGGCACAGTGCCCGGGAAAAGAAGGAATAAAGATTCCGGACTTGTTGTAGAAGGGGTTGCCCGAGTAAGAGGATAATGAGTTGAGTGCTACGCGACTTACCGACGCACAGGCTTTTCGGCGGTAGACAGTCCAGGCGGCAACAACCTTACTCTTATGCTACATTATTAGTGCCATGAAGAACCAACCGTTAACAAGTGTTGCGAGTCATGATTTGATCGCACAGTACGTACTTTTCGCGCAACGGCTTAGCTTTCACTTCGCGGCATGTCGGGGGCGGGGGGAACCGACGGGAATGATATCGCGCCATTAGCTATTGCATTCGCCCGCGATGCGAATGACAGCAGCGCGAGCTCCCGACTGGCGCAGGTTGGCTACTTTGCCGTTGCTACCCAGTTGACGGCGGCGATTAAAAAGTGCAAAAGTTGTTGATAAGACCGCCCGCGCGCTCGCCCGTCAGACCATGGCGGGTCTGCAGGTTTCGGGTGGTAGATAAGAGGGCATTGGGCATCGTCACGGTCCAGCAGAAATGTGGCCAAACAAGAAGAAAAGCACGGGTACGCCCCTTTGCTGTGACGCCTCCCGCATGATGGATCATTTTCTTGGCAATTACTGGCTTCGCTCGCTGCCAGCTTGCTCAACTCCATCATCCCCAACATGTGAGCAGCGAAGAAGCGCTTGACCGGATGTTTCGGGTTACTGGCATGATGACTGGGCTCTTTTTATTCAGTGGCAACGGGTGGTGGTAACGTTATGACGCACACGACAAGCCTCGATGTTGGTGTGTGTGTGTGTGTGTGTGCGTGTGTGGACGGTAAGGCGATTGTGGTGCAGCAACAGCGCAGTTTGGATCGTTTTTATCTCGGCGTTGGGGCGTTTGTTATCGCAGTTGCATCAGATCCTGCACATCGGTCGCCGCCGTACCGCGATCGGAGCGGCGATGGCTCTTGTTGTTATCTGTTGGAGAATGACGGACTGATAGGAAAAAAACCAATGCAGCGTCCCGTTGTGTGCGTGCTGCTGATAGCGCTCCTCCGAATGGGGCAGGCGCTAGGTAACCAGGTAGAGGAGGGTTGGGGTGGGGGTGTGATTGCGGAGGCGGGGCAGAGGTTTGTTTGGGGCCCTTCTAGAGGGACTTTGGGCGCTGTTATTATCATTAGGCTGCTTTTCGTCGAGGCTTGTCGCATGCTATTATTATTCTGACTATTATCATTATGGGTTCACTAATTATACTTTGAACTGTGCTGACAAGCCTTCGGCCGTGATTGGGGTGGTGAAGAGGGGGATGGCTGGCCTTGGCTAAAAGTCTTGCAATTCCGGAGAGATAGTATGGCTTCCTTTTCTCTTTTCCCTTTAACCTTTTTTCAATTCTTTGATTTTTGTCAAATTGCAATTGGCTGACTTTTCTCTGATTGCCAAAGTTGCCTCTTCTTGCTTCTTCCAGGCGCTTATCTCCAGCAAGCAGCACGCGCCTTCCTTGCGCCACATCACCCGCTGCAGGGCTTCTACCAAGCTGCCTTTCCAGCGCTCCCCGTGACCAGCGACGCCAAGGCGGCCCTCCTGCTTCAAGGGGGTTACGACCTTTTTCTTTTTTATTCCAAAAAAAAAATACTTGAATTCCCTTCTGCGACGGCCGAGCTGAATCGATTGCGGGGGACAATCTTTCCGACAAGTCTTTTTAGAGTTGAGGTGCAGCACACGCTGATGCAGAGAGACGCTCCAAATCAAGTTGGCCGCCCCTCCTTGTTCTGCAAGGCACACACACTATTTTTACAGGTGACACAGCCTGTGCAGTTCAGCCACCATCCACGCGACAAGCCAAGCCCAACGACAACTTGAGCCAACGAACAACGCCCGCTGTCTCTTTCTACCGTCGCAATCCGAATCCGCACTCGGGTTTCTCTGTGCGACGTGTTAGTTACGGAAGAGAGAATTCAAGGGACCTGCCCGAACCGCTCGAGGGGTCCCTTTGATACCCCC